TCACTGTCTAGAGACAAGGGCCCTAACCCTTACTCTCTGTTCTGTGTGATTTCACTTATTGGCTAGTTGATTAAAAACAGGATGAACATTGCTGTCTTCTTTGCTATAATAGAGGGCTCATTGGCAGCAATTTTACCATCTTCTCTGATGCATGTTTTCTAACAGAAGGGACCAGTCCCACAGTAGGTGCTTAGTAAATATTTGTTGAGCAAACAGTTCTGTAGGACATATTTATCATTGATTTAGATTAGGAATTTCTTATTTTTCCTGAGAAAGAAGAATTAGAGTGGTGTAACCAAATGAGGATATTGAGGTAGTGCCACACATTAGGTGAATTCATGATTTTTCCAGGGAACAGTTTAATTTTAAATTCATGTTTGACCTTTCCTTTGATTGTGGTTTTTTTTTTTCTCAGCATCTTTTTTTTTTTTTCCTCATTTCCCCTAAGAGGAGTTAACCACCAAGGAATATTCATAAAGGTATTTCATTTGGACATGACTTCAATAGTTAGGCATCTGGATTCTTATCATACGGGTGTTGTGTGGGTTCTTTCAACTCTGATAAGCACACGTGACAGAAAAGGAACCAAGATTTTAGGAATGTCTGCTTAGTGAGGCTGTCTGGCTACTTCAGGGTGAGGACTTGTTTTGTCTGTTGGATGTTTGGTTTTATATAAGTTTGGAAAAGGATAGTGAGGAAAGAATTTGGCAGTCTGAGTACTGTGAAATAAGGAATGCAGTTGTGCCTCGTTCTTCCTTGCATTGTGCAGTGCTCTGTGCAGGTGCTTTAGCTGGCTCTGGGTTGGCCCATCGGAGCATGCTTTGGTTTCCAGTTCCACACAGTGCTGTTTGAAGGTCAGCATCTACTGGAGGAGCTAGGTGTGGTACCTGCACTTGTATTTCAGTACTGGAATATATTTGTAACAGTTGACTGGCCAAAGTGATAATGTCCCAATGATATCTTCATAGGTAGTCTTTTTAAAGATGACGTCTGTGTACCTTGAACGACAGGTCTGTGCCTCAAGGAAAGGCTCATATGCTTGTTTCTAGTTAGGGAGTGCTTGCTCTCTATGAACACACTAGTCTGCTCTTTAGTTATCAAAAGATTATTTTGTAGGAATATACATCTAAAAAATAAGAAATGGAAATTCTATAGTCAATTTTTGACATGGTGCCAGAAAAACACTGCATTAGCATTTCATGGTCCAGCATTTTCCACATCATATATTTTTTTCGTAGCCGTGAAATTTCGGCAGATTGTTATGCAAAGCAGTTTTGTGTCTCTGTGTGACTAGGAAGACAGCTGTTAGTCCTAATGAGGAGTGCTAGCATTACAGTATTTCCATTGATTGAGACCCACGGAGGGAGCAGAATGTTCCAGATCGGGCAGTGGTGTGTGGTGAGAAGGTACCATACTGTCAGCTGGAAGTACATGCTCTGCTGCTTTCCACGACAAGATAAATGAGTTTTGCTGGAGTTTGGCAGAGTCTGAAGCTTTTCCAGTGAGCAGTTGTAGCTCACCAGCCTCCCTGTGGGACCCATGGTCTAAGGGTGCCTTTAAAACTACTGCCTCTGTGCCAATTTTTTTATTCTTTTGATGTCCCTACAATACCTGTCAAGATTGTGATTTATTTAAAACCTAATGTCTTTTAGCATTTCAGTAACATAAGGTTAGATGATCTTTTGTTGAGGCTTCCCCCCCATTGATTTAGTAGAGTGTTAGCTGAAATTTAACTTGGCCCAAACTTCCTGAAGACTGTAAGTCCAAAGAGAAGTCAGTGGGCATCTTTACCTTCCTCTTCTCAAACGTCTACTAGTAGTTGGAACTCTTGAAACCTTACTGTAACCTTTGCATTCAAGGAACAGTAAGACCTAATTTATAGTCATGTCCATACATTGTTGTTTTTTTAAATAAAGAATTCAGATGGGTTCATTTTTAAAGATTTACTGTCTCTGCCCACTTCTTCCTTTGTTGTTTATTGCTGTGTGCAGGATGGTATTTTCATTTATGTCCCTGTACATGTAGTACAGTGGGTTTGCTGGTTGTCACATGTGGGGAGGTGGTGCACGATGGTACTTGCTGAATGGAGGCAGGGAGGCTGCCAAGCCCTGCAGAGCACAGGAGGCCCCCCAGAGAAGGCTCCCACCCAGTGTCAGTTCCAAGATGGGGAATTAGCAAATTCAGGCTGTAGAATGTGTGCTGTGACAAAGACTGTCTGGAGAAGACAGATAGTTGGTGAAAATGTCATCACCATCATATTTTCTGATTGTGTTCATGGGGCTCAGCGTTATGTCGTAGTTTTTTTTCAGGCATTGCTGAGACTCCTGGATTCCTAGTAGCTACTTTGATGGATTTTTAAAAACCTTGTATTAATGCAGCAGAGCTTAATTAGAACTTCACTTATGTCCATAATCTTATGTCTGAAATTAAGAGGGTTTTCATGAATAGGGCATAGTGACTGGATAGTGCTCATATTATCAGGTGTCTGAATAGAACACACTATCACATCTCAACAGTAGAGCTTCAGTGACAGGAACAACTGGCATTTATATTGGACTTACTAAGTTCTAAGCAGTTGATAGATGTAAATTTGGGATGTAGAAATCAAGCTTTTACCCATGCAAATTAATGATTTGTGAAGATAAGAGGACATCTTGTTTCATGGATAGGTAGAAATTTATACACTTGTTCTAGATGCTTCAGTGAGTACTGAAATGTGTTTTAAGGTTTTGTGCAGAGTGAGTGACCCCAGTTAGTGGTAAAGCTAAGGCCTGTGTCTCTGTGAGACGCTCTTGCCCCCACATCTTTGTGTCTAGGGATTCTGGCCTGAAATTGGGCAGTATCTTCTGGGGTGGATGAGTCCTGGGGTGATTTATTATTAACATATTGAATAAAATGGACACCTGGCACTGCACTAGGCAAGAAGCAAGTCCTTTTGAGACCTGTTGAAGAGATGCATGGTAAAAATGGGAACTCATCTGCTTATAATGGAAATGATCCAGTTATGCCTTTTCAGTGTTCTTCCATTACAGTGGATCATGTTTTCACACATAAGCAAATTATCTTGGTCCAAAGTTGACTGGAAAAGTAAGATTTTTATCATATTTTCTTATTGATCTTTGCCAGTGAGCAGAGAGATGATTGAATTTTCAGCCTTTCTTCTTCAAATGTTATTATATTATTTTAGTCCTTAACTATTTTCTAACAGGTGAGGGTGACTTTCCTTTGAGAGGAAGGTTAACATTACTGGTTAGCATCACTGATTGAGACAGCCTCAGCCAGTAGAGAGAGAGAGTTTACTTTGAAGATTTTGATTGAGTTTCTTCAAAGATGCGATCAGATGATGACATTACCTCTTGTTCCTGTGTGTGTGTGTGTGTGTGTGTGTATGTATGTGTGTATGTGAGAGACAGAGCAAGAGAGAGTAGGGGAGTCTTCATGGTCTTTTCATATTGTTAATTCAACTTCATGTGTTAGAACATAAATACTTAGCACTATATTAGACACAGTGTTTTTTTTTACGTTTCAAGAGCAGAGTTTATGAAATAGCTTAGCACTAAATTAAAATTTTTTTGTCTTCTCTTTTTTTTGTAGCTTCCTTAGGAATCATATATTTCTCTTCAGCATATGATTCTTTCATTTCTTTGTCTTGCCTTTTCAGGTCTTCCTCTGTTCTCATGAAACCCGGTCCCTTCCCCCAGTCATGTATTTTATATTTGATTTAAAAAGAAAATTATTGTTTTTTGGTTATATAAACATTTCAAAGAAAGCAGTTCTGATGTTTTTTCTTCTCAAACTTAAAAAAATTGTGATCAAATATATAAATATACATAACATTTTTATCATTTTTAAGTGTATAGTTCATTGGCATTAAATAAATTCACATTGTTGAGGGATCATTACCGCTATTTCCAAACTTTACATCATTCTAAAGAGAAATTCGAGGCTTATTAAACTCCCCATTCCCACCTTCCTCCAAGAACTGGATGATCTCCTTTCTAATTTCTGTTTCTATTAATTTGCCTCTTCCAGAAACTTCATATAAGTGGGATTTTTATGTGTTTTAAACTTTTGTCCATGTTTTAGTTTCTTTTTATGGCTGAATATTGTGTAAATGCATATACCACTTTTTTTTTTTTTTTTTAATCTCTGCTGTTGGGCATTTGAGTTACTTCACCCTTTTTGGATATCGTAGGCAATGCTTCTGTGAACATTGTTTGAATACTTGCTTTAAATTATTTTGGGTATATACCCAGAAATAGAATTGCTGGGTTTTAATTCTTTGTTTAGTGATTTGATGAACTACTATGCTGTCCATGGAGGCTCTCCGTTTCACATCCCCACTGGAGAAGTGCACAAGGGTTCTGATTTCTTTATATTTATAACTGCTTATTACCTGCTTTTTGGTTCTGTATTTTGGATAATAGCCATCCTAATGTGTAATGATAGCTCATTGTGTTTTCGATTTGCATTTCCCTGATGATTGGTGATAGTAAGCATCTTTTCATGTGTGTTTTGACCATTTGTATATTTTTAAGAAACTATCTATTGAAATCTTTTGCCATTTTTTGAATTGTTGTTGAGTTGTCTTGAGTGTTTTTCTGTAATTTCTATATTAAATTGAGATTGGTAGTTGGATATTTTTTTTTTTTTTAAGAAATTCTCTGGCAGACCCAAATATGTAGAAATTTTGAAAGGTTCTGTTTAATCCATGTTTTTCTAGTAACTTCTCTTTGTTCCATTGCTTTGATATGGTAGAATAAACTGTATTTTTCTATTATACTAAGGAAAAAATATGTAAGTTATGTAGCACACTTATGGGGAGAGTTAGGAGCAGGTTATAGAGTAGAATACCATTGTAAGCCTGCATGTCTCTGTTCTTTTCTCTGCCCCTCTTGCCATCTCTAGAAGCAGGGCTGTGTGTTTATTGTATTGTGTGGGAAGATGTGCATCCTGTTTCTATTCTACTGAGGGTCTGATCCTCTACCCTTTACTTGTAGTACTGTAACCTCTGCCGTGTTCACTGTGGGAGACAACGTTGTTTCAGGCAGTGATGACCGTACAGTGAAAGTCTGGGATTTAAAAAACATGAGATCTCCAATTGCAACTATTCGCACAGACTCTGCCATTAACAGGTAAGGATTGATTGTAATTTAATGCCTTATTTACATAGATTTAGGATTTAGTTGATATGGCCTTGGGAAAAATGATTCTGATAGCTGGGAATGTATTTTATTGATCCTTTAATGCAAATTCATAAATTCCATATGAACTTAACTTTCTTAGCATGAAGTCAGATTGATATAATAAGATTTATAATAATAAGAATGGGTCATTTATGGCCAGATGTTGTAGGGCTTTTGTTTACTTACTAAAAGAGAAGGGAGTTAATCTTGGTTTTGGGTGGGTTTCTGTCTACTGTGGATTACAGTGTGCCTGTGTTGTGCATATGTGTATGGGGTCTGTGTATAGTCTTGCAGCTATGTGTAAGTACCTTGGTCTCTATTCTAATGCCATAGGTAGGTAGTGCCTGTGGTTTGCTAATCTAGTTTGTCTGAAATGTGAATAATGTGCAATATCCTACTACATCATTATGTGTAAATTCAAAAATTTATGTTTTAACTATTTTAACACAATTCTTTTTTTTTTTTCTGTCTCTTCTTTTGCAGGATCAATGTATGTGTTGGCCAAAAAATCATAGCCCTCCCCCATGACAATCGACAAGTGCGATTGTTTGATATGTCAGGAGTGCGACTAGCACGGCTTCCCCGGAGCAGTCGACAGGTAACAGTTAAGATGTTTATAAATCACATTAGAGGAGAATATGGAATTTCACACCTTAAATCATTATTGTCTAGCAGTAGAACTACAATGGGAACCACATATATAATTTTAAATTTTCTAATAGTCACATTAAAGAAAGGTGAGAAAAAAGATGTTAACATATTTTCATTAATCAATTATACCCTAAATAATATAATTGCAACATGCAATCATTGTAAAAACATTAGAGCTGTTTTACATTTGTGTTTTCTTACTAAGTTTTTGGATGCTAAATTTTATTGGAAGTACGCAATCTGTTTCAAGTTTATAAAATTTGAAGTTGAAAAAATAGTAAGCATACTCAAGTTGTTCTAAACCTACTTTAGTGTTTCCCATTACCCTGAGTTTAAATTTTTAGGTTTAAAATTAGATAAGATCAAATGTTCAGTTCATTGGTTTTGGTAACCACATCTGGCAAGCTCATCAGCATGCATTAGTGGTTGCCATATTGAAAGGCACAGTCTTATATATTTTTCAGTTGAATTTGTACAGAATGGAAATGTTTGAAATGATAAGTAGTTACTGTAGTCAGGCAGGAGCAATGTTAGTTATCTACTGAAGGAGCTTTTTGAGATGGGATCCCTACCTCTACCTCCAAATAGAAAAACTCCTTTCACTGGCAGGTTGTCATGAGAAGAAGAAATCCCATTTTAAATTTTACTTTCTTATAAATTAAGGGATTGCTCTTCACTGATTTCAGATGTGCATAGGGGAATGAGATGGATGGTATCAAAACACCTCCATAGTTGTTTGCAGTGCATGGTGTAAGTCAAGATTTTGTGATACTAGCTCAGTCCAATGAAATCAGAATATTCTAAAACAACACCTAGGAGCCTGCATTTAGATAATAACCTGGTTGGTTCTAGGTTCTTTGGGGCCTAAGTCTTAGCTGTGGATAACTTTGGTTAGTGCCTCTTGAATAGTTGGTATGTAGTAGAAATAAGTGTTAATAAATAAAAACTCCCTGGCTTGTGAAGTCAGCATTTATTCAAGCTTTTGTGTTTAATTGAGCCCCCACAACACAATCACTGTTTTGTTTTCTTTTGATCTTTTCTGAAGGTCATTGTGATATCTGTGTGAGGAAAAAGCCAGTTGGTTCTGTTTAAGAATTCATTCCTTGAATGACGGGAAGGTGTCTCAGTGTTAGAGCACTTATGTAGGGTGTGCAAGGCACTGGGTTCAATCCGCAGTGCTGCAAAAAGAAATAAACAAACCATCTGTTCCTCAGTCCCACCAGTCCACGTGCCTGTGCTTGTGTGTGCACTCATCTCTGAGCGTTGCTGCCAGTTTGTACAGCATTCCCCATTGTTGCTGCCTTTTGGCTGCTCCTTATTGTTGATACCAGTCTCATTTCATTCTAAAATCTCACAGAACAGTTCTTAAGCCCCAGAACATCTCTGCACTAGAGGTACACTTTGAAAACTATAGTCTTAAGAGTGATTATGGAGATAGATTATGAAGTGGGAATTTGCCACTAATATAACAACACCATTTCTGTTAGTGACATGCAGTTTCTGAAAACTGTCCTTACTGCAACTCAGCCATACTCCCCTTTCCCAGTGGAATATCAGTGTACTATTTGAAAGTAATTATTGAGCTTTTTATTCTTTGAGTGTGCATCATAGAAAAATTCTTCATGAAATTAAAGTAACTAACAAAAAGTAATTAACAAACGCTTCTAAACTCCCCAACTCCTCAGGAAGCTGAATTGCTTATCCAGGGTAATGTTGTCACTTGCCAACAACATGATTTCAGTGTCTCTACAATGAACATTTTGCATTTATTTTCAAATAGTTCTTGTTTAAAGGCTTGGTTTCTTGCCAGTTAACAGATTTTTTTTGGAGGGGGGGTTATTAACAAAGAAATAATAGAAGATAGCTATTGAAACCCTTTGCTATATGGTCCTTTTTTCCCCACACTTTTTTTTTGGGGGGGGGGTGGACTATTTTATTTCTCTCTTCAATGTGAATGTTTTGCAGAGGAATATTTTGTACCATTGAGTGTTTCTTCTACTTAATCTCTTATAGTTTTACTTAATAGTAATTTTTGTATTTTATTGATGATATAATAATAACAATTAGAGCTATCATGTTAATTTAGAAAGTATGCATGATTCCTAAGGTATTGCTTTCAGACATTCTCATATTGGGCAGTATCTCAAGTATTTGCATCTATACACATATTCACTAAATTATTAATTATTTTGCAGTAATTTCCCCAATATTCCAGTATTTAACTGGAATTCCTGAAGATGGTAGGAATCTCCCTGAAAGGCCATTTATTTGTCTTTATTTGTCACTAAGTGTATTTTTCTAGCTTCTTTATTATCTGAATCAATTATTTGTTAAAATGGTAGGTACTTGAAGTAATTTCACTTAACACATACACACATACACATAAGCCTCATTTATTCATTTAAAAATTTCAAGTTGATCATTTGATTATTTATTTGTTCTGACTATAATCTTTTATTTTCTTAAAGTATCATAAAGTGTTTCTGATGTGAGTCTCACTTCCTTCATTCATCATGGCTTTACCAGTCTGTCACTTGAAAGCTTCTTGCCAATGTGAAAAATTTTTTCTTACTTGGCTAATCCTGTGAGCTATCCCCTCGTCCATCTTTTTTTTTTTTTGGTACCAGGATTGAACCCGTGGGCACTTAACTACTGAGCTACATTCTCCAGACGTGTTTTTTATATTTTATTTAGAGAGGGGTCTTGCTAAGTTGCTTAGGGCCTCATTAAGTTGCTGAGCTGGCTTTGAACTTGTGATCCTCCTATCTTAGTCTCCCGAGTTGCTGAGATTTCAGGCGTGTGCCACTGCACTCAGCTCCTTGTTTTGTTTCAATAATTTTGAGTGGTGTAGTTGTGAATTTGGATGAATTGTATGCATCTTGTTTCAAGAATAACACACTAACTTTGGTTTGTTAATAGGGCCACAGAAGAATGGTATGCTGCTCAGCATGGAGTGAAGACCACCCCATTTGCAACCTGTTCACCTGTGGGTTTGATAGGCAAGCCATCGGTTGGAACATCAACATTCCTGCATTGTTACAAGAAAAATAAGGTCAACTTATTAGTTTGGTGGTTTGCCATGGACCTTTGATTCATGCAGGCTTTTCTGCATATTAATCAGCCATTTTTTTGTGAGAGTTTCACCCTGAGAAGGGTGCTTTGTATATGTTCTTTTCACATTGTGCCCAGCTTGCATGAAATGTACAGAAAAATGTGTGATCATATTTTTTATTTTTGTCTCGTGTGTATATATTGGCATCCTCTGGTCAGTAGAAGTGAAGCTCACCTCCCATGCAGTACATAAAATGCTTGTAAGTTGTTGACATTTGACAGATGAACAGTAGGGCATTACATTTGTGTGAATTAAATGTGAACCTATGTACTTAGTGTGAGGCATAAACAGTCTGTTACATTTTCTGGAATAATTATACATATCTACCTTGTACTGGGAGGAGTACAGAGCTGCATTTGCATTGGCTAATGAGTGGTGGGAATGATCAAAGATGGCATATCTACTTCTGTGTGAAGTTTTGGCATGTCCTATTGTGTAATTCAATTTCAATTTTAATTTTTATTACAGTTCTGTAAAAATAGCCTGGATTTGCAACATTCAGAGAGTTTCTTTTGAAAAGAAAAAGTTTCTGCTCTTTTTATAGAAAATCATTTCAATCGCCTGAGGTCTCATACTAGCAAATTCTAAAATATAATGATTCTAATCACTGATTTTAGATATTAAGCAAAATTTAAAGCACTTTAGTTTATAGCTGTAGTTATAAACAGTTTTTAGAAGTTTCAAATGACTTATCCATTGAATGTGACTTGACCTTTTATAAGAAGGCCCTGCTACCTGAAAACAGAATCTTATTTATTTTCTACATCATTGATTTGCATATATCTAAATGGGTTCACTTCCTTGGTGGTATTTGAGAGCCAACAATGCAAATAAATGAGTACTACCTCAAAAATAAATATTTGGAAAACTTTGGAGTCTTAATGTTGCCTAGCTAAAGCACTTTTTGATTCATAGCTGGAATACTGAATTAAATTTAGAAGGCAAGAAAGACAATCCTACCAAATGTATCCTGAAGGTAAAAGGTTTTTCAGTTAGGCTAATAGGATGATAACCATAACAAATAGTTCAAAGGTAACAAGATGCTTTTGTCTTGAGTAGCTGGGATACCTCTCAGTGCCAATCCTACTACTGCACGAGTGAGCCTGTTATCCTTGCCTTCTTAAAAATTACTGTTCATCTGATATTTGTTAAGTTTATGTTTCTTATTGAGTTACAGTTTTAATAAAGAGACATCTCAGTTACTGCCCCTCACATTTTTAATCCTTTACATACAGCCCTTTGGAGGCTAATCACTTGGAGGGCACAGGAAGATAGTATTTAAAACTCTCATGGAGATAGTTCTCTCCCCCAATTTCTTGTGTTTCCCCCTGTTTTGTGGTAATGTAGGAGGACACCTGAACTGGCAATGGATAGGTAGCCATTTGGCAAGATATAGTACATAGGATGCTCAGGTGTCCTTTGGTGGAGCTTACTAACAGTGAGGAACACCTCATTGTTGGCACCTTTTACTTGGGTCCTACAGGAGCTGATCTTAGGAACTTCATAGCTGAATCATTTAGAGTAATTCTGAAATGACTAACAGCTAGGAAGGAATGACCCAAGAATAACCAGTAATTAAGGGGCAAACTACAAACGTTTTAGAATGATTTGAGTTTTTAAGCCAAACTGTTTAAAGTCCAACATGTTCTGATCACAAGTCTGACGACAGTGTTTTTGAGAACTGAAGTCAGGCTGTTCATTGTGGTTGGTTAGAATTTCAAGTTCCACCTTGTGCTGTCCTGAGTGTATTCTGCTTGATGGAGTACTGCAACAAAATATTCACTGTGGCCTAATTTTACCTTACAGTGAGAGATCCCCTCTCACATCTGCTTATGCAAGGGCATTGATGAGCTGCACAGGCTGTGTTCTTGGGTTTCTTATATTTTAGTTTGCAAATCTAGATTTCTAAGAATGATAGTTAGAAACCATGAAAAATGTACACAAATAACTAAATCAAATTTAAGATGCAGTCTTTGCTAGACGAAAAAGATTTGAAGCTTTTAAAAATATATATGTATAATGTCCACCTAGTTCTATGGAGACTAGTGACCTTCACTGCCAGTAGCTGCTCACCTCTTGTTAAGTGGAGGAACCAGCCTCTAACATCAGAAATGAGGCTCCTCACTCATTTTCATGAGGGCAGAAGACCCTAATGGTGCTTGAGCAGAGTTCTCAGGAGCAGGATGTGACTTACTGTTAACTACTGTGTCATCTTCTAACGTGATCTCATCCTACTGCTGCTGTGGCCACAAGTGTTATTTTCAAGGAGTGGGGGGTGGTTAATATGTGCGTGTGTGTGTGTGTGCGCGTGCTCATGTGGCTGAAATTAAGTTGTGTTATCAGCCACATGGGATCTCATTTGAAATAGTGTTTGGAAATAGGAACACTATTATGTGCTGATGTGTCCAGGATTTCATTTAATAATGGAAGGAAAATATGTGTGTTGATACAAAAAATCATAAGAGATTTGTTGTTGGATAAAGCAACATTCTTTTTCTCAATCACTGCACATAAGTTTCTGTAGAGTCAAAAGTTTGTACATATTTTGGAATCTGAAGATTATGTAAATCATTTGTTACTTAAGTCTGTGAAAACAAGTTTCTTTGGAGGAAAAAGTATGCATTTGTAAGTGTTCTGTGGAATCATTTATTTTTATTGTATCAATGTAATTGTTTTTAAATGTTCAGTGTCTACATTGCAATATGAAATTCATTAAAACATCCATGTTCCATAATTACTATTATAAAGTTTTTTTATTTGGGAGTCTCTTTACTATTTTTACTTTTTTTCATGTTTTCCTTTGTGAAATATCATTATTATATAAAAATTACAGTTGCCTGGCATTTAAGCAAGTTATTTGTAATATTGCCCATTTGAAAAATTTTTAGACTTAAAAACCCAATTGAGTTATATTTCCTATCCATTTCTTATTAAATGATGCATAATTATGCTTGTTTGTTCCCATTACCACCCCAAACTCTTCTGGAAAAATTAACAGTGTGACCTAATATAAGTTTTAAGTGACATTTCTCAGAGTATCAAAATGCTTTTATTGTTCATATTACAATAAGCTTGTGTGAGAGTTAAAATTGCAGTTTCAGAAAGTTGGACACCATTTTGGAAGAATGCAAATCAGGATTTGGTCATGTTTACTTGTACATTGTTATATTCTAATTCAAGTGAATGAGGCATTGTGGATGTTATAGAAACCTCAGAAAGTGTTGAAGTACGACTAGATATTTCTTGCTTGTTAGTGAGTTCTGGGTTCTTTTTCTTATTGGCAGATTTCACTGCCTAAATCACATAGGCAAAAGTGAGAAATTTCTCCCGTTTAACTTCTTTTTTATTCCTCACATAGCATGTGATTGTCCAAGTTTCGTTTACACTTTCAGTCAAAAATTCATGTTATATTAATATAAGGAATAAAACAGAGAAGACTTGTATTGCTATAATTTCATCAAAATGCTGTAAAAACATTTCTCCCTTACTATCCATAAATTTTGTTTTCTAATGATTTTGAATTTTTTAAAAAATTATTTTAAAAATTGTAAACATTTTATTTATTATGTGCAACAAGTGATATATAGTCCATATTATGGTAAGAAAAAAGCTGAAAGTGAACACAGATGAAATTTATAATTTTAAATTAATTTGTTAAAATACCTTTTGAATTAAGCAGCATGTGGTCAAAATGAAAACAGACTCAGCAGATCATTGGAGTTGTAAGAACTTGTGTGAAAGATGTGATAAACTTTGGGGGAGGATCCATTTATGATTTGTGAACTGAGATTGAGAATCATGAGGGAGCTGCATTATATAGTTTGGTGAAGGAAATGACAGTTAAACAGAAGCCTAAAAGTTGTTGGGTGTATGCAGGGAATAATAAGAATAATTCCAGGCAAAGGGAAAGCTGCATACAAAAATGGTGAGAAAGAACTTAGCATGTTGCAGGTACTGAAATAAAAGTGCAGCCAGAGCATAGTGTGAAGGGTGGAGGGTCCAGGATGAGGCTGGGGTGATGGACAGGTACCATCTCATTCAGAGGCCTTTGGGAAGATGGTGGATTTTATTCTGTGTGAACTGTACAAGGTGAAGATCAGATATGGAGGCCATGGAGGCATCCAGGTGAAAGCTTTGGCTATTCTGGGTCTTTTATTCTTCCAAATGAATTTTAGGACTTTTCTCTAGTTCTGTGAAGAATGTCATTGGTATTTTGATGGGAACTGCCTTGAATCTGTATTTTGCTCTTGGTAATATGGACATTTTGACAATATTAATTCTGCCGATCAATCAGTGAACGTGGAAGATCTTTCCATCTTGTGTCTTCTTCAATTTCTTTCTGCAGTGTTCTATATATAGTTTTTCATTGTAGAGGTCCTTGCCTTGGTTTGATTTATTGTTTTATTTATTATTTTTTGAGGCTATCAGGAATGAGATTGTTTTCCTGATTTTTTTAATCAGTTTCATTTTTGGTGTCTAGGTAAAACTATTGATTTTTGTAGGTTGATTTTGTAACCTTTTATTTTTCTGAATTAGTTTATTAGTTCCAGTGGTCTTCTGGTGGAATGTTTTGGATCTTGTAAGTACAGGATCATATCATCTGCCAACAGTGGTAATTTGACTTTTCCTTTCCTATTCTTATCACTTTAATTTCCTTCTCTTGCTTAATTGCTCTGGCTAGAATTTTTAGTACAGTTCTGAATAGGACTGGTGAGAGCAGATATTCTTGTCTTGTTCTGGATTTTAAAGGAAATGCTTTCAGTTTTGCCCCACTCACTCTGATGTTGGTTTGGGGTTTGTCATATATAGCCATTATGATATTTCGGTAAGTTCCTTCTATCTCTGGTTTCTTCAGTGTTTTTTGTCATGAATGGGTGCTGAATTTTGTCAAAGGCTTTCTCAGCATCTTTTGAGATGACTGTAATTTTTGTCCTTAATTGTACTTATGTAGTGAAGTATATTTATGATTTGTACATATCAAACTATCTTTACAACCTTGGAATAAAATCAACATGGTTATGATATACAGTCTTCTTAATATGTTGAATACAATTTGCTAGTATTACAGATTTTTTGCATCTAAGTTCATGAGGGATATTGGTCTCTAGTTTTCTTTCCTTGATATGTCCTTATCAGGCTTTGGTCTGAAAGTGGTTCTGGCTTCATAGAATGAATCTGGAAATATTCCATCCCTTTATATTTCATGGAATAATTTGAGGAGCATTGGCATTAGTTCTCCTTTAAGGTCTGGTAGAATTGAACTGAGAATCCATCTGGTCATAGGCTTTTCTTTGTTCGAAGACTTTTTATTACTGCTTCTACCTCATTGCTAGTTTTTAGTCTATCAAGATTTTCTATGTTCTCTTGATTCAATTTTAGCAGGTCATGTGTGTCTATAAATTCCAGGTTTTAAAGTCCCAAACAATACTTGCATTTCTGTAGTGACTGTCTCGATTTCTCTTTTTTCAACTCTAATTTTATTAATTTGGGTCTTCTCTTTTTGTTTGCTTAGTTTCACTTCTCTTTTTGTTTGCTTAGTTTGCTCAGTGACCTTTTGGTATTTTAAAAAATTCTTTATTGATTTAATTTATTTCATTCTACTGAATTATTTCCTTCCTTCTACTGGTTTTAGAATTGGTTTGTTTTTGCTTTTCAGGGCCTTTATATGTGTATCATTTGATTGCTTTATTATCTGATTTTCCTATGTTGGCAGTCAAAACTGTAAACTTTCCTATTAAAACTGTTTTCATAATGTCCTAGAAGTTCTGATATATTGTATCACTATTCTTGTTTTTTTTTAAATGTTTTTTTGCATGCAATATCTTTATTTTGTTTATTTATTTCCATGTAGTGCTGAGGATCAAACCCAGTGCCTCACATGTGCGAGGCAAGCGCTCTGCCACTGAGCCACAACCCCAACCCTTGTTTGATTCTAAATTGTTAAATTTCTGCTCTGACTTATTCTATTGTACATTCATTATGGAAAGTTTATTGTTCAATCTCCATGTAGTTACATAAATTTTGTTAGGGGTTATTGATTTAATTTTTTGGTGTTGATTTCTGATTTCATTCCATTATCTTGATAGGGTTATCATAAGATGCAAGGGATGATATAATTAAAGTATTTTCTGAGTTGCTTTGTGATCTAAAATATGGTCTATTTTTGGAGAATGTTCTATGCGCAACTAAGAAGAGAGAGAATTTGGCTGTTGTGGAATATTCTATAGATGTCTGTTAAGTTCATTTGATTTATAATATTTTTATTGGTCCAAATAATCTTTACTGAGCTCAAGTCTCAGTGACCTTTTGGTGAGAGACTGGTGTGGAAATCAACCAGTGTATTGTACTAGGGTCTATCTATGTCTTTTGAGTAGTGTATGTTTTACATAATTCAGTGCACCAATGTCTGGGGCATAAACATTTACTATTGTTACATCTTCTTGTAGGATTGTTCCCTTTGCCAGTATGAAGTGACCTTCTTTGTCTCTTCTGATTTATTTTGGCTTGAAGTCTTCTTTATTGGATATGACAAAAATTTAATTCCTGCTTGTTTGGGGGAATCCCTTGTTTGGGGCTCCCTTGCTAAGGTATCAGTTTCAAGCCTTTCATTTCAGCCTGTGGCTTTTTCCCTTTGAGTCTCTTATAAGCAACACGTGGTTGGCTCTTGTTTGCTAATCCATTCTGCCAGTCTGTGTCTTAATAGGAGGATTGAAACCACTTCCATTCAGTGCTATTACAGAGTCGTTTATTAAATCCTGCCATTTTGATTAATTTCTAATATTTAATTTGGTCCTGTTTCTCTTTTGTTAGCTACACTTCAAATAAGATGTGTCCTCTTGAGAACCTTGGGGTTTCTTTTCTATTTCTTCTGTGTGTAGTATTTCTTCAAGTATTTTCTATAGTGCTGGCTTAGTAATCATTAATCCTTTTAGTTTCTGCTTATCTTGGAAGGTTTTTTTTTTTCTTTTTAAATTTGTTCTAATTAGTTATACATGACAGTAGAATGCATTTTGGCATATTTACACAAATGGAGCACGACTTCTTCCTCTGGCTGAACATGGTGCAGAGTCACACTGGTAGTGTAATCATACTTGTATATAGGGTAATAATGTTCTCATTCCACTGCCTTTTCCATCCCATACCCTCTCCCCTCCCCTCACTCCCTTCTGCACAATCCAAAGTTCTTTCATCCCCCCTCATTATGGATTAACATCTGCTTATCAAAGAAAACATTTGGCTTCTGTTTTTTTGGGTTTGGCTTATTTCAGTTAGCATGATATTCTCTAGCTCCTTCCATTTATCTGCAAATGACCTCCATTTCACTCTTATTTAAGGCTGAGTAATATTCCATTTTGCATATTTACTGCATTTTCTTTATCCATTCATCTGTTGAAGGGCACCTAGTTAGTTCCATAGTTCAGCTATTGTGAGTTGATATGACTGTTTCATTGTAGTATACTGATTTTAAGTCCTTTGGGTATAAACTGAGGTGTGGGATAACTGGATCAAATGGTGGTTCCATTCCAAGTTTTCTGAAGAATCTCCATACTGCTTTCCAGAGTGGTTGCACCAATTTGCAGTCTCTCCAGCAATGTATGAGTGTGCCTTTTTTCCCACATCCTTGCCAACATTTATTGTTACTTATATTCTTAATAATTGCCATTCTGACTGGAGTGAGATGAGATCTTAGAGTAGTTTTGATTTGCATTTTTCTTATTGCTAGAGATGATGAAT